TACCAGTGTCATATGTGTTTACATTGCTGCTGGTTTGGACTTTCTTTTTTCAAGACTTATTTATTTTTATTGGAAAGTCAGATATACATGGAGGAGGAGAGACAGAGAGGAAGGTCTTCCATCCGATGATTCACTCCCCAAGTGACTGCAGTGGCTGGAGCTGAACCAATCAGAAGCCAGGAGCCAGGAGCATCTTCCTGGTCTCCCATGTGGGTGCAGGGTCCCAAGGCTTTGGGCCGTCCTCAACTGCTTTCCCAGGCCACAAGCAGGGAGCTGGATGGGAAGTGGAACTGCCGTGATTAGAACCAGCGCTAATATTGGATCCCGGCATGTTCAAGGCAAGGACCTTAGCTGCTAGGATACGCCGCCGGGGCCTGGTGTGGACTTTCTAAAACTGCTTATTGAATGGCTGGTCAATGCAGAAAGGACAGAGTATGCATTGTAGCATGACAAAATTTTGGTATTTTCTCTGAATCTGCTAAGCATGTCTGTCCTATAGGAATACTCCAATTTGTACTTATATCATGGCACCTCATTTGTTTGTGGTTTCATTACCTCTTACTTTGGATCCTAACACCCTGTTAAGATCTATCTGTACTTAATCTATGCTTCAATATGTAGACCTAACTTTACAAGGTTTGCTAAGTTGCCAAGTTTGAATTGATGCTATTTCCTGTGGGTAAAGGCCTTTATAATGTAGTGTTACAAATTTTGAAATTATGCTTTGCTGGTTTTCTTTGTGTACCATACTTGATATTCAAACAACATGTGCCTTCAGTTTATATGGTTTCTCAGTTTTTGCATCTTATTATAAAACAAGATTAACTGATGTTAAAATATCTGAAGGAAGACAGAGGCACAGATTGATAACTCTCCCTGTAGCAGTTCAGAGATTCCCACAAAGGTGGGTCAGCCCCTGTATGTTTCAACTCTTGGGAGAATGGTGCTAGAAACTCAGTTCAGGTGTCCCACTTGGGAGGCCACCGTCCAGCTACTTGTGTGACCACCAGCTTCCTGTCAGGATAGGTGTTTAAGGGAAGCAGCTCCTTTCTTTTGGATGTAGACCTTTAATCAGTGTCTTAAGCATGTGGCCATCTGCCAGACACAGATGGGTTTCCTTTTCCTCCCTCCTTAGTGAATGCCTATGAGGAATAAATTTATGATGTTTTCATCCTTTATTTAGTAGCTCCGTATTTTCATATAGCCCATACCATGAGGTTTAAAAAAATAACACTAAAGGCTTAGAAAAGAAGGATTTGGTTTGGGATTAAGAGAATTTATCTAGAAAAACAAGAAATAATCCATTTTATCTCTAATCAAATATATGATTCAGAGATGTGTATAAATCACTCTTCCTGAAAAGTAGAGACAAGCAATTTGGACTTAACTTTTCTTTAACAACTTGGATTTAAGAAGATAAAGCCTGGGATGACAATGTATTGTTACATTTGGATTGTGAAGGGGGGAGATCTGTAAAGATTGAGGAAATTGATAGTGTTGGTCTTTGATGAAAGCAATTTGGTTTAGTTCTGTTTCGATGTGTGAAACACGTAAGTTGAAGGCTACTGTAAATTATAGTTGGAATAAAAAAATAAATTAACAAACACTAGTGAGTCCCTGCAAGTGTTTTATAAGAGAAACAGAGAATGTTGTTTGGAAACTTTGTTGAACTCTTTGCTTTGAATGGGCATGGAATAAGGAGTGGATTGGCATGGGCTGAAGTCTACCTGATATGAACTTTGCCAATCATGAGAATAAAAAGCTGCCATTCGTGTAAGAGTTGAAGAGAAGAACATTTCTGGGAAGAAAGAATAATGAATTGTATCAGTTTATCATTTTTTTCTTCTTGTCACTAAATGTGCAGCCTTATTTCATCAATACTTGCTATTGTGTTGTAGACATATTTGATCCTGGTATTTGATGATGATTATTTTTGTTTAACAAAAGTGAACATTTTTCCTTAGTGTCCAGATATTTTATTCCACTTTCTTTTGCTGGAATTATATAGTCTATGAAATAATGTTTTGGGGATAATCATTTGACTTACAACTTAAGAAGTCATTTGAGATGCCAGCAACCAACATATTGCTTGAGTTTGTGTCCTGGCTTCATGTTCATTGACAGCTTTCTACTATTAGGTAACCTCATATTTTGTCTTGGGTCAGATTATTGGCTTGTGGATTAAGCTACTGCTACCAACACTGTGCCCTGGCTATTCTACTTCTAATCCAGCTCCCTCCTATTCACCTTGAAAAACATGGATGATGGCCCAAGAACTTAGGCTGCTGTATCCACATGATGGCAACCTGCTCTTGGTTTGACCTTGCCCATCCTGGCTATTACAGCAATTTGCTGACTAAACATTTGGATGGAAAATACCTTTCTCTAATGCTTCCTGTGAAATAAGTAGTTCTGTGTTGAAAAATATCTAACTTTGAGAGTTGCAACAATTATTCCAATCCCAATGGGACTATTTATTGACCTTTCAAGAATATAAAATTATCTGTTTCACTTAAGCCATTGGAACTTTGAGTTCTAAGGTTATCTTTTAACAATTTACTTACTAATTTATTACAGAAAGAGAGAGAGAGACTCCATCCCCTGGTTCATTGGGCACAACACCTAGGACCAGGCTATGTCAGGTTGAAGCCAGGAGACATGGAGTTGCCTCTGGGTCTCCCACAGTTAAACTGGTTACTGAAAATGCTGGATAGTGAAGAGTGGATATGAATAAATGTATAACATTAATAAGTGCTATCTTGGATATTTTGCATGGTTTTCAAATATTTTGAGTTTAGAAATGAAGCAGATTATGTAAAAATTTGAATGATGCTTGATTTTGAAACTTTAGTAGCCCAAAAGCATTTCATTAACAAATTCATGGCAATTAAACTAAGTACCAAATAACAAAATGAAAGAAAATTCCTTTTTGTTAAAGTAGTAATAACCATGAGCATGAAATTTTCATTAAAGTTTAAAGACAAAAGGAAAAAAATGGAAAGAAATGGTATGCAAGTATCAAAAAAATCATGTGAATATACTGCTCCTGCTTGTGACAATGATGACAGTGGATTCATTCCACAAATAAAGAATGGACACCCTGATCGCCAGCAACTTCCCATTAAGAAGAATGAACGATGTTTTAAGTAAGCCAACAGCAATAGTTAATAGATGTTTGTTATTGTCCATAAACTACTTCTAATTTGGAAGACTATTCATGGTCAACAAATTTTATATTTATAGTCTGGATCTTAAGTGATACTTCATAATCAGAAAAATGCCAATTCACAGAAAACTGAGACCCATTTTTTTCAAACCATAGTAACAATTACTTTAGATAAAATTAATAATTGATTAACAAATGTGAGTAAAAATAATCATATGCTTGGCAAAGAAATGTATAAATCATTTTGAAATGTAATTTGAAATACATCATTCTATTAGTCTTTTAGCAGCTTTACTGCTAAGATGCAGAAAATCTTGTTGAGCACACATACAGAGACCTCAATTAAGGACATTTATGATGTATCATACTCATCTATAAAATAAAATAACATTAAAGATTGTAAAGTGCATATGAAAAGACTATTTCTATAAACATGGTACATGGGCAAGTGTTGGCTCAACATCTTAAGTCACCCATTGGAGTGCCTCATCATCCTGTGATTAATATGCCTCCCATATCGGCACTCAAAATGGAAGATACAAAGGAGTTCTATATCCCTGGCTTTGGCCTTGCCCATTCCTGGCTCTTGTGTTGAGAGAGTGAGCCAGCAGCTGGAATATTTTTCATTGTTGATCTGCCTCTGTCTTTTCCTATGTCTTTCAAATAAAAATAAATTAATTTATATGTTACATCCATACATATGCACATCAAGGACATTTACTGTAGTATTGTTTTATCATGCTAGCCATAATCTAAGTGTATTTCAATAAGGAAATAGTTGATTTCTTACCCATTGTAGTATAATATGCAACTATTTTTTAAGTTAAATTTATAGTTTACTGAGTATTTTGTACCTAGTATAGTTACCATATTTCATTTAACAATATACTTTAAGCACTTTTTGTTAGAAGAATAGTCATGCCATCTGTTGGATTGCCAAAGGGAGGTCCAGAACCTGGCACAATAGCTCAATACCTAATCCTGCCCTTGCAAGCACCAGGATCCTGTATGGGCACCCGTTCATACCCTGGCTGCTCAACTTTCCACCCAGCTCCCTGCTTATGGCCTGGAAAAGTTGTAGAGGATGGCCTAAGCCTTTGGAACTCTGCCCCCACACGGGAAGTCTAGAAAAAGCTCCCGACTCCTGGCTTTGGATCAGCTCTACTGTAGCAATTGCGGCCATTTGGGCAGTGGTTCAGCAGACAGAGGATCTTTCTGTTTCTCCTTGTCTCCATAAACCTGATTTGGCTTTCCAGTAAAAATTAAAATTAAAAATCTTAAAGAGAGAGAGGTCCATACTGTTCTGCCACTCTTCCTTGTAGCCAGTAAATATTTCATTCCTTAAGCCTGTGTGCACCAATATTAGATCCTCGAAGTAATTTGATTGTTGCTGGGTTTATTCTATAGCATAGTCCTGATCTCCTAGAAACATTTCAGTATAACATGCAAGCTTATTATAATTGCATGATTTGATATAATAAACCTGGAATTAAACTGCTTCTGTAAAGAAAAGGATAATAAATATCTTAGACTTTATAAACCAGAAGGTCTTTATTGCACTGTGAAATATGTTGTAGATAATAAAGCAATCATTATGACTATATGCCAAAAAAAAACTTAATCTACAAACCAGGCACTAATTAATACAAAGGCTCACCAACATTAATTTACTGATCTTATGGAAAATCTCTGGTGCTACTAATACATTTTTGTCTCTTTTATACCTGACCTCTAATTTGTCCTCAAATCTTCACAAGTTTAGCTTCAAAATATGCCCTCTACTATTGCTATTAGTGTTGCAGATTGCTGATTAGTGTTCTTATTCCATTCTTCTTTAAAGTCTCTTGTCGATTCTTAACACCATGGATCTCTGAGCCTCCCTTTCCGACTCCAGCAGGGTGAGCATGTCGCCTTCCCGCACAGGCCTTTTACGGGTGATGGAGTGGCTCGTGTCATCCATGAATTCCATGTGTACCTGCATACACTGTCCCTGGGAACCAGTCCTGTGCAGCACGTTGGTGACCCTGTTGAGCTTGATGGGCTGCACCTGACTCGTGTCCATGATGGCAGCTCGGACGTTTGGTCTGGCTGATATATTTTACTATTTTATGATGCAGTTCCATAGGCTCTGGAATTTCCCCCTCCCATCTCCCCAAAACCACTCCCACTTCACTGACTTCCCGTATATTATTGCAACAGTGTAGTCTTTCATAAACAGTCCTAAATTCGTCATTGTGTTCTTAAGTGTATCTGTAGGTATGAACAATGGCAGAGGGTCCATCATTCTGTTGTCAAGCTAGCAGTTTCATTGGGAGTCCATCTTTGACTTGGAAGTGGAGATGTGTCTGGACCACATCTAGATATGATAGTTGCTATTACACAGTTACTATACATCCCCTTAAATGAAAAGTCATAAAATAAAATCAGTAACAGGAAGCAAAATAGAAAATTAACAGTGACACATTGGCCATTCAGTAGTATTTTATTTAACACCATTGAATTCTTAAAACACCCTTCAGATTATATTGTTCCTCTGCTCAAGACCTTAAAACTGCCTCTGAAGTCATCACTCAGTGTGCATGCCAAAGGTCTTCCTGAAGCCTGCAAGACCATAGGTGATCTGATGTTTTCTCTCTGACTTCAACTCTTGGTTTTCTATCTCCTTCTCTCTGCTCCAGCCACACTGAACTGAACATTCCTTAAATTCTTCTGGTATCCTTCAGTATTTGAAGCTTTTTTTCTCAGTATCCTCCTGGTTATTTCTTGCCATTTCCATTCACTTAATTTTCATAAGTGAAGTGAATGAGCACTGTGGTTGTTTTACTTTGTTGAACTTCTTATTTGGTAGTCCATGCACACTTTGAGGATGAAGTGTATTAAAAGTGTACTATCTGGGCCCGGTGCAGTAGCCTAGTGGCTGGAGTCCTCACCTTGCATGCTCCAGGATCCCATGTGGGCACCAATTCTGATCCTGGCATCCCCACTTCCCACCCAGTTCCGAACTTGTGGCCTGGGAGGGCAGTCAAGGATGGCCCAAGGACTTGGGACCCTGCACTCACATGGGAGACCCAGAGGAGGCTCCTGGCTTCGGATTGGCTCAGCTCCAGTTGTTACTGCTGCTTGGCGGGTGAATCATCAGATGGAAGATCTTTCCTCTCTGTCTTTCCTCTCTGTATATCTGGCTTTCCAATAAAAATAAAATCTTTTTGTTTTAAGTGTACTATCTAAAAACTATCATATAAAGAAATGGTTGTTTCAAAAATAGCATACTTACCAATTTTTTGAGAGACGGGAAAATGAAAACACACACAGAGATTTTATTTAACACATATGCTGGGACATTTTGAATTGCTTGTATGACATCTGGAGATTTATGAATTTCCTGTACATGATATAACAAGTTCTGAAGTGTGTATACTTCTTATAGTTGATTATATACTCTTCAAAATTGTTGTTTTGAGAGTCATATTGAAGCACACATTCTACAAAGTTCATTTTTAAAAAAAATATTTATTTATTTTTACTGCAAAGTCAGATATACAGAGGGGAGTCTGTCTGATGTTTCATTCCCCAAGTGGCCACAATGGCCAGAGCTGCACCAATCTAAAGCCAGGAGCCAGGTCTCCCATGCAGGTTCCCAAAGCTTTCAGTCATGCTCAACTCATTTCCCAGGCCATGAGCAGGGAGCTGGATGGGAAGCAGGGCCACCAGGACTAGAACCAGTACCCATATGGGATCCTGGTGCGTGCAAGGTGAGGACTTTAGCTGCTGAGCTATCGTTCCGGGCCCTAATTTTTTCTTAAGTTGAATTTTGGATCATTTTTATTTGGATGTTATAAATTATACTGTAGCAAAAAGGTATTATATAAACTTTTTAAAAAATAGTGTATTTGCAATAAAATTAATAGAGCCATTTCTATTTTTTAATTAAAAAAATGAATCCCACATGTGAGGGAAAGTATGGTTGCATTTGTCCTTCTGTTCAGGTTGATGGCACTCCATGTAATTTTCTTCAGTTGCAACCGAATTGGTGCAAAATTCATGTTTTTATACTGAATAAGAATCTATTGTTCTATATATATCAAAATGTAATATCTATATTCCATTGGTGATGATAATCACCCTTTTTGATTTCATATTTTGGCTATTGTGAGCGATGCTCTTATAAACGTGGTGGTGAGGTATCTCTGATGCAATGTGTTCCCTTTTTTTGGGCGTGTCCAGTAGTAGGATTCCTGGATCCTGTGGCAAGTCTGTTTCTAGGTTGTTAAGAAATCCCTGCCTATTTAGACTTCCTCTACATCTTCACCGGTCTTTGTTATTCTATTTTGGAAAATAGCCATCCTAGCAGGGTAATTTTGACTTGTAATTTTGAGGTTGTAATTTTGACTTGCATTTCCCTAATGACTAATGATGTCGAGTGTTTTTCATGTATTTGTTTGCCATTTGCATTTCTTCTTTTGAAAATTCTCTTTTGAAGTCTGTGCCAATTGCTTACCTGGGTTGTTTTTGTTTGATTTTTCAAGTTGCTGAAGTATATTCTGGTTGTTTTCCTTTTTATTCAAACAGGAAGCTCACAAATATTTTCCCCATTTTTTCAGATTTTCTTTATTTTAATGTGCAGAACTTGATATAAAGTCATATGGCTGGTTTTACTTCTGTTATGTGTGATTTGTCTTACACACACAAATATTTGTTGCATATACAAATGCTTTATATTGAAAAATGCTTCAATACAAAATCATTGATCACAATTATAGATCATAGGAACACCTTAAACAGGTGAAGTTATGGTTCTAATGTTTTCCCAAGAGAATTTTTCTTAACTTAAGATTACACCACTAGAACATGTAATGTATTTTGCCATCAAAGAATGGTTTTTAAAATTCATTGATTCTTCTTTATTAATTTTTGATAATTAGTAGACAGGAAACTTTTCATGAATTTCATATACACTGTTCTATAATAACATATTACCTTCTAATGTAACTAATCTCCTTCTCGTGCTTATTTATTTATTCATAATATACATGGAATAAATGTAAAAGGGACAATTTTTGCTTATTAGTTTCTCTAGCATCTTTTCATAGATACAGATGACTACTTCCATGTTTTGTTGCAAGTACCTAATATTCTCATTTGATTCACAGTAGTTGTTGACTTGTTCCAAATGGAATTTTTAAATTGTTAATGAAATATATACTGGTCAACAGGATAAGTTTAAAGTATTACACACAAAAAAAAACCATAAAAAAATTGAGGTGACAATATACATTTGCTTTCTGGATAACACTAATACAATTCAGTATCTTATATTGTACTCCCAGAATTACCTAACCATTGCCACAACCAATAGTGAGGTATTTTATTTACCTGTAAAACAAGAGCATAATTGTACATTATGCAAAGGCATTGTGTTATAACAGTACTGTAGCTGATACAGGTAACATGGACTGGCATAGTGTTGTGAATTAAGCCACCACCTGCAATGCAGGCATCCTGTATGGACACTGATTGATGTCCTGGCTGCTCCATTTCTGATCCTCTTATCTGTTAATGCACCTGCAAGTCAGCGGTCAACGGTGCCAGTGTTTGGGTCCCTGCCACACACATGGGAGTGAAGAAGCTGCTGTATTTGGCCTGGCCTAACCCTGCCATCTGTGTCCATTTTGACAGCACAAATGTCTTTCCCTTTCCCTCTTTTTTCTAAATATTAAAAACAAAAGCCATGTAATTGACATTATTTTTGTTTAGTTCCAAGGAAAGGAAGCTCAGAATGAAGTAGCACAAAATATTAAGAAGGCACAAGATCACTTGAAATGTTATACAAGGTATTATATATGTAAACAATAACTTCATGAACCTTATGAAGCACAGAAGCCATAGACAATGAGAAATAGAACACATGTTCATTATCATAAATACATTTATATGACAAGTGAAAAATCTAGTTTTAAACTAGTTTAAAATGCATAGTTTGAGGGCATATTCTCTAAATGTTCATTTCACATTATCCACATAAAACAAAAGGAAACATGACAGAGGTGTCAAATAACTTACTTTTCAGGTTTTTGAAGAATATCCTTGATTGATTTATTCTTTTTTTATTATTTTATGATACAGTTCTATAGGCTCTTGGATTTCTCTTACTCCTTCCCAAAACTGACTTTCTCCCCCACTGATTTCCCCTATTTTATTACAATAGTTGTCCTTCATAAAAAGCCTTAAGTCCATCATTCTGTTAGTTAAGTATATCCTGACATTGTAGGTATGGACAATGACAAAGTCCATCATCTTATTGCCAAAATATATTGGACAGTTTCACTGGAAGTCCATCTTTGATTTGGAAGTAGAGATGCACACTGTATTATAGCTTCATATCTGGATAAGATACTTCCTATTACACAGTTATTATACATCTAATTAAATGAAAAGCCATAAACAAAATCAATAACAGAAGGAAGATAGAAAATTTACAACACCATGAAGTTAAATAATATGTTACTGAATGACTGGTGAATTGCTAAAGAAATGAAATAGGAAATCAATAGCTTTCTTAAAGAAAATGATGCTATTTTATGACCTATTGATTACTCCTTCTTAATTCAGAAATAATATGTAAGTTTAGGTTTTGCATGAAAATGTTCTTCCATGTACCTTTTAGGCTGGACTCTGATATTTCAGAAATAAAAAATAACATGAAAGTGGGAGCTGAAAAAAAAGATGAGCACAAGAAAAACCAAATAAGACCTAGTACAGTAAGTCAATCTCTTAGCTTCTATCACACTTAACATGGAATTTTTATTTATCTGTCAGAAGATTGTAGCAATATTTTAGCTAAAATGAAGTCTGATTGGTGTGGTATATGTACTACCAATGCTACTTGCTACTACCAGTGTTAACCCAGATAGCTTTGTAGAAAGATACCAAATATATTTTTATCAGTTAGATGTGAAACAATCTCCATTGCAGTGGTGCCAGCCAGGAAGCACATCCTATTGCTCAGGCAGCAGTGAAAATGATGACACATTATTGCATTAAATTCTATGAAAAGACAAAGGA